ATATATTTATCAAAGTCATTTCGAGATCATCTTCATTTATATTCGATATTACATCATACCTGTCTTGTTCCTTCTATAATAACTAGAGTTAGATAGACTCAAAGATACAATGTCAGATCATTAAACCTCAAAAACGAGATGAGATAATAATCCTTTGTACCATTACGTACATTCAAAGTAATTATAAACTCATCACATCAAAAAATATCGAATAGCAAATCATTGGAGCATACTATGATCAGTCCATCATGTTCCTCGATATAACATAGCATTGGCGGAGATGAACGTTACTTTTAACATGTCTTCCAATATAAAGATCAGTATATTACCCCCTTTTTTTTTGATACCTAATGATACTCCACCTATATAATTTGCTGAAATTTTCTAAATACGTACCAGTCACTTCACATTGACAGAAGAGTAAAAAGATAATGGCACATGTTATTTAGAAGAAAATGCAGATAACGTCTTTGAATTTGCCGAAAAAAATTCGTTAATGGCACATTGTAATTCTCTTGATGCTATAAAATCTCTAAAATGAATACTTCTTTCTCGTGTGTCTAAAAATAGCAATGATATTTTATGTGAATAACGCCCTGACTTCACCTTGTATAAAAATACATTATTTTATATCGAAAATCAGAGGTTTTCAACGATCGAACAGTCAGTTATTCCAATCAAAAAGAATATCGAGATAGAAAGTAGTATAATCAACGATTCATCATCAACTAATCACGGAAGTGACGAGTAATTCTTTCGATTCTTGTTAAACACGTATTTTATATACCAATATAAAACCAAAAACGGGATATAACCTACTATAATAATACGTCTTGGACAATTAGGAGTGATTTAAGAGAGCAGATTCATTGTTAAGAAATATCACGTGAATTGTAATTATATCATTGCATTTTATGTGCCTTCAGGAAAAAAGTCGATAAAAAAATGCAATGGCGAACGTATATAAATACTTTCTTTTTTTGATTAAAAGAAAAAAACAATTTCCAACAATTCCTTTACATAAATTTTAAATATTTTTAAGATACTTTATTACAAATAAAAAGTATTTATATTTTAAGAAAGAAGAGCTTTCAAATCTAAAAGAGCTTTTCTCCATTCTTATATCTACGAGTTCATTTGAAAGTAAAAAAGTTGCGAGTTGCTTTCAAAAATTATTTCTCATAATCATTTGGATAATTTCTCTTAACGCAGTGTGTCTCTATTTACGAAAAATAATCTCGAATCTTTTATTCTCAAACGAAGTCATAATTTTAGGAAAAGTAGAATGCGACATTAAAATATAACTATCTACTTCTAAAACATTCTAGATATAACCTAAAGAATTTTCATATTTACATTTTTTGTCGCTATTTCCAAAATTACGAAAAAAACACGATTAACATTTTTGTTCATTCGAAAGATCCTTAGAGAGATATACGAGAAAATATTCACATTTCCTTTAATCGCTCAAGCACGATTTAAATACAAATATCTACTTTCACAATTAAAAGATATTCGTGTTATTCTTATTTACACAATCGAGAACAAAGAAGATAACCGTGAACGAAAAAAATGTGAAAGCTTGCACCAACTATTGAAGAAGAATATAAAAAGGTACGTGCAATTTCACAATGGTGAACGAGGAGGAAATCACTGAGGGCTTCACCAAGGGAATCGATATTGTGCCGGGACGTGAGAAATCCAAACGACTGGCGCCCTACTGCCGCGAAATTGAGTCCATTATCGCTCTGGCCAGGTACCCTCCAATACCATCGATATTCGTTTAACGCATCGTTTCCCTGCCAGGAAGGGTGACAAACAAGGGTCCTACCGAGAAATATAAAATTTAAGAAGCGAGGTCACCAGGCGAAAAAACGAGAAAGAGACCCGTCGAAACCGCCATGAAGAATCGTGGAATAGAGAGGGAAGAAGGAAATGGATGATAACCCATGGCTTTCAATTCTACCACATCTATAAGAAACTCTTTTTCCACCTTTATTTTCTCTCTTTCTCCCTTTCTCTCTCTTTTTCTCTTTCCCTTCATCTCTCCTTTGTTAAAAAAAAAAAAAAAAAAACAGAGAAGTAAAGGTACTTCTATGATTAAGGGAAAAACTTTATTCATGAATTCCATCGCATCTATTATACCCGCTCGAATAAAATCTATCCGCGAACGATTCCGCGTTCTACGGGGCGAACGATTCGTTTCCAGTGAAAATATTGAAATTCCAGTAATTGCGCCAGCTTTTCCACCAGCGGACGGACTTTGAATAATCGAAGGGAGGAAAATGTTACGTATTTCCTTGGTCGTCACCATAATAAGAAGGTATCGAATAAAAGAAGCTATAATTTACGAACGAGGGGACGGTTACATATTCGAGTGGAGCATCCTCTCGAAGTGGACGGGGGACAAGAAACTGGCTCGCCGCGTAAAGAAATTAATCAAGAGTTTCTGTTCAGGGGGGATAACTGTGCGCGAGAAACATTGTAGATTGGCGAGACGAGGAGCAAAGGCGAATAAACATCGGGTGCGGCCAAGTTCTCGCACCTTTCATCGTGAATAACCGAGAGTGGCCGGCTACGCCTCGAATCCTTCAAGAGTTCGCGTGTTTTCTCGTAAGTTTACGCACCATTGGCCGCCAATCTTTAGAATGAAACTGCCGCCTCTGAGTGGATTCTCAACGCGACTTGTTTCGAGAACAAGACGGGAAGAAAAAAATGTTCCGTGAAAAAAAAGAAGAAGAAGAAGAAGAAGAAGAAGAAAGAAAGAAAGAAAGAGGAAGAAATAGAAGCTTCTCGAAGGGAAAAGGAACGAGAGAAAGACCTCCAAGAGGATGAAATACCCGTATATAACAGTCACGATCCGAGGGCGACGAATAATCACATTTAACATGTCCAACGATACGCGAACAATACACCGACCGTCCTTCATACGGATATATTACACATTGTATTCCATTGGCAACGGCCATGCTATAAACGGCGATATTACCGCATAGCAAGCAACCTGAAACCTTACAATGCAACTTAGAAACGTGGTATCAAGTATGTCATGGAATTGTAAAGTCACGTTATCGCCCAATCTAACTTTGCTCGGATACACTCGTGTGGTTTGTTACACGCGTACATATTGGTGATGAGTACACTAGTGTGATTGCGAATTTTGTATTAAATCGTTAACTAAATTCTATGCTTTCTACGGAATATTTAGTTTGATTTCGTTCTAATTTCCGTTTAATTTAAATTTCTTTCAATTTTGATTAACTTTTACTTATTATTTTAGCTTAATTGAATTTTAATTCGAAGAATATAATAGTTGTCGATTTGAATTTTCGTATATTACTTTTCCAGATACTATATTGGATATTAAGATAAGTAATAATTGATTGAAAATCCTAACTAATAAATTAAAAGAGATTTAAAGATTCAAGATTATTATATTTATACATGGAATGAAAAAATGTAAAAAAGACAATAGTAACAATAATTTTTTTCTCCCACTTAAAACCACCTTATAAACTTCAAACAGTTATCAGAAGCTATTCTATACCACAATACATCATCGATATAAATATTGACGATATGACCAAAATAATAAAATATAACTGCTACAATACAATCAGTGCTCGAGATTGAACGCAATTGATATTCAAATAAAAACTACATACCACGCAATCTTTCATCCGAATAGAAGAAACGTATTCCGTACGTGTGAGAAAAAAAGATCATTCTACTGATGACTTTTCTTCCCCTTTCAACGAGATCTCACGAGAGAGGTCTCAAAGAGTAGAAAAGAAGACAGTATCACGAAGAAGATAACCGCGAAACTTACAGTTCCTTCCCAATATAAAGAATTGACGTCGAACAAAACTAGGACAAACTTTAGATGAGGGGGAATATCGACATCATGGACGAGAGGGGACAATATTATTCTCTCGTGAAAGATTATGGAAGGTATTCGCCAAGAAGGTATTCCAACGCGACAAGAATGACAATTGAAGGTCCTCGAATGATTTCATGGAACAATTTTGTCGAAATGGTTTTTGCGAATCGTCATCAACTTTATGATTCCCCGCCAACAGATTCACGCGGACTATAGCGTAATAGGTCATTTGGAAAGAGTGATAAATTTCATATTCTAGTGCTTCATTTCTGCAGATTCACTAGCCAGACCGTCTCATTTTCGAATAACCCTGTAATTTAATGGACAATCTCCTAGACGTCTCTTTATGCACTTTTTAGGACACGAAGCTAATCATATTTTCATAGAGTGATTCTCATTATTACGCTTTCTTGCTCCTTTCTAATATCTCCTTTTTTTTTTGTCTCTTCTCGTTTTTGAGCGTGATATGATGATACGACGATAAATATTTATAATTGATATACTGTCGTTTCATTCTAAACTTTAATGTGATACGATATAACCTGATAATGATACCATTGTTAATGTAATGGAATTTTAAGTTTCTTTTTAAAATTTTAAGTTTCTTCGAATGGAACATCGTACTTCCTGTATTCATGGACACGAATATGCTACTGGAATTAATTAATATTTCAATTTTAAAGAAACGATATTCGATATCAATGTACGAATAATGATATATCCATCGAATTAGAATCATATTAAATTCTCAATATTTTTCTATTTCTTTAATGAAATTGATAGGATATTAAATAAATTAAATAAATTTCTTTAATTAATAATATATTATACTTTGATTATTTTTTAATATCAAAAACTTCTAATACATATATAAAATATTAGCCAATGAAATAAAAATTAATAAGTTAATGAAAGTAAAAATAAAATATATATTTTTCTTTTGTTTGTATTCTTTTAATAATTTAATCACAACATGGTATATAAAATTTTATGATTCTAATTCGATAGATGAAAAAAATATTTGAATAAAGAAATCCCTCTGTTTTATATTCCATTAGTTTTATACGGTAATCTACTTTTTTGCAAGATCAACTACGCGCAAAGTAAGTTTTCCACTTACCTTTAATCGGAAGTCACTGACAGTCCATACTCGGCTGGCGTAGTCATTCGATGCTCCAAGGATCAATGTTCCTGTAGAATCGAAATCGACGCACATCACTCCAGCATTGCTACCAACGAGAATACCTTTGCTCTCTGAAGCACCTGAAACAAAATAAATTTAAATTTGTTAGTAAAAAAACAATCGATTTATCTTATTACTTATTCACATTAATTTATCTTTATCTATATCATTTATATTCCTTTCTCTATTATTCTTAAAATAATCTCCATTTTGCAATTAATTTCTTTAAACTGTATCTTAAAATCAACTAAATTACGTGGTTATATTAATTTAGTTTAGATTACAATGCAAAAATATGATAATCATTTAAAAAAAGAGATAGTTAAGATCACGAAACAATTAAAATTAAAACAATTAAAAATGAAATAAAAAAAAATTGACGTTTAAAAGTGTCAAGAGAGATTGAATACCAGAGAAAATCCACGAATGAGACGAGTTAAGCGGATATAATCTGAATAATAAAGATAGATGTTTCATCCAATTTGCAACATAGCGCGGAGATTACATTCAAGCACCATAAAGCATGTGTGGGTCATTCGAATATAGCAAGGAAAACGTAGCAGACAGAACTTTAATAAACTTCTCGGTGTTAGTCGGCTGTACATTGCAAGAAACCTGTTGATTCGTTAACATACTTCATTCACCAGAAAGAAAAGAGGTCTTCAAGAGCACATCGCGATATATTTTATCTGACGCATCATTTTTCTATTTCTATTCATCTCCCTATTCTTCTGGCGTTCTAGGCGTCGAATGATCTTAATACATCTTGTTTCATAGAAGATAAAAAAGCATAAAGTATCGATAAACTTGGTAATAAAATTTGATAAAATTCTTTATAAAATAAATTTCAATTCCTTAATGAAATTGCTTATCGTAATAGCTCATAGCAGACTATTCGATGTATCCCTCCAATTCTCTTTTCACGATCTTCACGAAAAGGAAGTCTTTGAAGCACGTATTCATGAACAAAAGATGGTAACAAAGTTTTAATTGCTCTATTATAGCAAGTTTTAATGAAATTTTAAAGTAACTGTGTATCGCTTGATTGGCCTACGTAGTCTCGTTCAATTAAGAAAATTTTGTATTTGATATTGGATTAACTTTAAGTACTGTACAATAGGTCACGCGTCATACAATCAATTATTTAAATTTTAAATTTAAATTTCACATTAGCACTTCAATGCGATAAAATATTTCTGCTATTTAACATTATACGTTTAATCCTTGAACCCTTATGACATTGAACGTATAAACTCCTGTGAGACCCGTGTGACTGAAACGAGAGTGGTGTAATAATTTACGCGATCTATTGGAGCTCGTTACAAATTTGAATAATGGCAAGACTGGTAAATAGATTATACACATGGAGACCTCGATGCTTGCGCGATAATATTTCCGTACCAGAGACTGTTCGAGGAATCGTTTATTTTGATTAATCACTCGTATATGTATCACACGAGATTCGCGACGAATATTTAAATCGTAGGCGAAAACGTTTTCGATAATAATACGATTTTGTTTCATTTAATCACCTTTTGAGATATTCCAAAGCTTCACCTTCCTGTCAGCACCACCGGTGGCAAGCATCCTCTCGACGGGAGACCATTTTACGGCATAAACTTCTCCGTCGTGTGCAGTCTGCAAGGGTTATTAAACACTTGACGTATAAATTTTGAAAAGTTTATGGGCATGCATGAGGCAGTAATTAATATAACAAGAGTATCGAAGTAAAATTATATTGTTCGTTCGAATTATAACGAAGTGATCGAATACAGAATAGTTTGATGAAAATCTCTTGAAGTTTTTTTATATTAAAAATTTTTAAATAAAAAAAAAAATTTTTTTAAATTTACATATTAAATTTTGTGACACAAGAAAATAATCGATTACTAAACATAAAATATAATTCGAAAATACTGAAAAATTAAAAAAAATATTTCAAAATTAAAAGAATTAATATTGTGATATAACATTGATTTTAATTAAAAAAAAATTAGTATCTGTACTATATGCTACTCTTATTAAAAGCTTCAAAAATTAAAATTAATAAAAATTATATAAAAAATTAATAGAAAATATATGAAATAAATAGAATCGTAATATCGTAAATAATGAATAAAAATGCTATAATATGAAAAATGATCATACTGATATTATGTAATACTTTGAATATTGAAATGAATTTATATTTACTTTGCAATTTTCATGCATAAAACGCGCATTCTATGTTGTGCGTGATCATGATAATATATTCAATGTAAAATGGTTTAATGCTGTAAATATATTGCTAAATACAGGACATTAAATTTCGATGCTATAGATAAATTTCGGTGCAATAGATAAATTATACTAAGCTAAAACTAAATGCGAAATGGTTTAAAAATTCATATGATTTTTATTAAAATAAATTTATATTAATATACTATCACTTGCGTTATACACTACAAGGCCTCATTTAAAATCATAATATAAATGGTATTAAATTAGAGCATATAGGTACATGGTATATCTATACAAAATATTTTTAATATCCATATAATTATCCCGTTTTAAACAATATAATAATATTTAAATAATATTTTCCACCATTTAATATATTATCTAATCTATTGACATATTTGTAAACACAGAAGAATATACTTAACTTAAATAACGTGATATTGTATTACTATATTTAACTTGATATACTATAAATAATACGTTTTTCTTACATATGTATATACTCAATTAGAATATAATAGACTTTACGTAAATATCGCTACTATAGTAAATAATAGTACAATAACATTAATATTCTAGTAACATAACATGCATAAGTGAGAAATACAAGAACTATAAATAGTAATAATATAGTATTCAACGATTATATATATTATGTATATATATTCCCATTAAACAATTTATTATTATAAACACAACGAACTAACTTAAACCAAACGATGTTACCTGATACCTAATTAGTTTAACGAATTAATATATTCTTTCTATAAAATTACACTATGTATAGAGAAAACTTACACTTATTTGTGTAAAAAATTTATATAAATACATACTATCATTCCTACACTTGAAAAATAAATCTTTTACAGTTAATTTAACACTTCATCTTGAAAATATTTATGTCTGTACTTATAAAAAGTATTAAAAATAGTATATTTATTCTTCGTTAATCTCTAAATACATAATATGTGGAGAAATTGATACTGTATAAGATATGTGAATATATTAAACGAAAACGAATGTTGCATATGCATATTGACATATCCATATGTCAATATTCCATTAATAAAATTTATAATATTAATTTAACTATCGTTAAAATAAAAAAATAACCTTCTTAAATGAAATCTTCCAAAAAAATAAATTTAACACATTTGTAATACAAATAACTTTTTTTTAATAAAATATATATATATTTCGTTATATATCTTTTAAAAGTAATTTTGTAAATATTCAATTTATAACTAACACGTATTAAAATAACTTTTGACGTATCACATAGATCTAATTCTATTTGATATTTGAAGATCGTTAAAAATCGGATATTTTAAATCATTGCATGAAATTAATAATATTAATGAAGTGAGAAATAAAATGTTTGTGTAATTGTTCGTGATACAAATTTCCAAATATCAAGCGTCGAGATTGCATTCAACAATTTCTTATTTCGTCATACAAAACATGCATTTTCGTGTTACAACGAATTAATAAACATTTTGTACTAAAATTTCCACAGTAATATAGCGTAATATAAATTATTTTATAAATTAAAGTTTTGTCAACGTACAAACGTGACGGATACTTTCGTCGGTACCGCAGTAGGAAGACCAGCGATTCCTTCTTTTAAACTCGATCTATCAGGACTAACTGGTCGTGTGTCACGTGCAGCATCTTCTAATTCTTTTTGAACCTTTGCTTGCCTTTTTCTGAAAAATATCACATAAACATATCCACAATTTGATAAAAATCAAATAATCATCAGAGAGAACAATATGCTGTATATAAATACCCAAAAGTATCGGAATGCCCTTTCTCTTTGATCATCACATTGTTATGTTTCATGCACAAAACAAAACAATTAGTAATATCAATGTTTCGATAATGTTATTTTTTTGTATTAGTTATTATTCTAAACATTTATTATATCTTATCTGTTCACATTAGTTCAATTATATTTATAATCATTAATGTTTACTTATTTGTTCCGTAAAGTAAACATTTTTAAGCAATTATTATTTAATTTTTTTTTTATTATTTTTAAATTCACTCATTTATTTTACTTTCTTATATTAATTCGTTATATGATAATACATTATTTTTAATACTCATGGACACAAAAGCACAAACAAAATGAAGGATATGGTCATATGGTACGATCAGCTTCCTTTAATAAATGACCCAAAGCTGTAGTTGAGCAATAAGCAAATTTCTGTCACGTCACTTGCACAAACTTACCCAAATTTTGAAATGGTATGCATCAAAAAGGCTGTCGGACTGGAAAAACTCTCACTGAAAATAAAATGTCAAGCATTGTGAAGTGCTAATGTAAAGTGCTACGATGATGACATCTTGTTCTGCGAAAAGCTCAATATTTTGCATATAATTTCAATAAATGAAAATGATTTGTAAATCTTTATACTTAACTTAAATATTATTTTCAATAACTTCCCGTAATTTTAAAATATCTTGAATTATCATTTATTATAAATGAAAAAACACAGAACACTATATTAGAAAGAATTATATCAATAAAATATAAAATAATTTATATTTCGGCATATTATATATATTTTAAATATTAAATGATTAATTTTATGATAAATAATTTTTTCAATTGCATAAATATAATTTGATAAGATTTTTGTTCTTAAAATGAAGAAATTTAATAATCGCGAATTATAAAAATTGCGACATATTAAATTTTAAAAATAAAATCTTAAATATTAAGAAAAATTATATATAATATATTTTGTGTTTTTTTTTTTTTAATCTTTTTTTTAAACCCTTCACAATAATATGAATTTTGTATTTATAATTTTGTATAATTTTCATTAAAAAAAATTCTCTTACATCTAATAAATAACATTATAGGATGTAAAAAAATAAAATTTTTAGTAAAAATAAATGTATATGCATTTATGAAAAGTGATAAAAAATAATAATATATTAAAAAGATATGTGTATGATAATGGAATATGAATTATCAAATTGTTATATATTATTCAATAACAAAATATTCTTAAATTAGTATACAATATTATCATGCGAAACGAAATTAATATCTAAAATTTCGTGCATGTAGCATTTGTAAAATATAAGCTATCAAGCATAATTATTAAAAAAAAAAAAAATTTAATATCTATTTAAATTATTATTATTATTATTATTATTTTCAGTAAATCACAATGTATTATATGTGTAAATTTAATATAATTAATTTGTTATCAATATCAATTAATATACATATATTATAACTAAATCTTAAATTTATTATTATTATTATGTTAATTATATTAACTATAATAAAAATAAATTTATTTATACACACAAATAAAAATAAAATACGAAAGAATTATTTTCATATTTTTATCGATATATTAATTATAAAAATGTAAAAATTATACAAAAATTAATATTAAATTGCAAATAATTAAAACTAATTGCTACAAAAGCTTTGAAATTATTATTTTATATAATTTATGATAATTGTGAAAGTTTTTGCCGACAGATGGTATAGAAGCATAACCAGTGATCTGTGACCGATATAAATATATATTACAACTGTTATTAAAAAATATGAAAATAAATCTTAAGACATGACAAAATAAATGTAACAAAAATGATTCTTGATGCAAATTCATTAATTTATATCTCTCTATATGACAAGAATTTTGTTTTTAAAAATGAAAATATAACAAACATAAATATATTTCAAATATATTTCAACTAATTTAATTTTTTTATAATACAATCTGTATTATATAAGATTAAAGAACATATTATGAAAAATTTAAAATCCAAATGAAATGAAAATTATTTAAAAGCATAAAAATTTAAAAAATTAATCAAGTATGTGAAAATAAATTATAATATTAACAAAAATCATAAAATAAAATTAAGACAGAAAAAAAAACCTAATTTACAAAGAATGCATAGCAACAAAAGATAAAGAATAAAGATAAAGATTGAAATATATTTGGTAAAATACTACTTTTGCATAAAAGCACAAAAAAAATAAATTCATTTTTCAAGAAGAAAAACATAACTGAGAGAAGCTATTTACAGCATATGTTACAATTATATTACATTTAAATAAAAGCCATTTTCTCTATTTAATAATACTATAAAATAAATAAGAAAATAAATATAAATCTTTATATGAAATATTTTTTTAATAACTTAACAAGAAATTAATAAATGGAAAAAAAATAATTAATATGAACAAAAAGCTAATAAAATAAAAATAATTATTGTACTCACTTCAAAAAGTTGTCATTTTCTTCATTCACTTTTTCTGCATCTCGAGTTTTGTATTTAATCAAACGTTCTATTAATTGACGATTTTCTTCCTATTAAATATTAGAAAATATTAATATTTCTAAATTTAAATATATAATATTAAATATATATAATTATAATAAATATAAAATGCATAATTTATTGCATTATTAAAAGATAATAATATTATATATATATATTATTGTAATAAATACCTGTGTTTTTCTAAGCTTTTCTTCTAAAGATGCAAAAGCAAGTTGCAAAGCTTGATGCTCATCTTTTAACATTTGATTAATGCTTTCCAATTCCTTCTCTTTGTTAAGGCATTTAGATATTTCTAAACGTAAATTTGTATTAAGCTCTATACTTTCTGCAAGACTGTAAATTTATTAAATATAATTTATTTTTAATAGATTAAAAAAATATTCAATTCTATAATAATAATGTAATAAATACATACTTTGTTTCCTTAACTTGAAGTTCTTTCATCATTTCTTGTAATTTATTATTGAGATCTACTATTTGTTGTGTATGTTCTCCTTTTCTTTTATGTAATGTTGCTAATTCTTCTGCTTGCTTTAGAAGTCGAGCTTCAAGATCAGCATTTACACTTAAACCAGGAGTCCCACTTGCTGCTTCACGACGGAGAGTTTCATTTGCTATAGTTAACTGAATATTTTCTCCACGTAATGTATTTGCACTTTCAAACAATCTATTATCTATGAATACAAAATAGTGTTAGACATATTCCTCTTCATAAAATAACTTATTTATACTTCAATTTAGATTATAAATATATTAGGACATAAGGTTAAAATATAAATAATAACAATAACTTACTGTTATATCACTTAAATTAATAGAACTAATTATATTGATAACAATAACAAATGAAATCTTACGTAAACTAATAAGATCTGCAAAACAATATGTTTGTCTCTTGTTCCTTTCTTGTAATTGAAAAATTAAATCTTTTCTCCACTTATTATCTTCTCTAGAAAGTAATGATACACCTGGTTCACTCGCGGCCATTTTCAATGCATGAAATATTATTAATATTGTTGCAATTTAAATTATTTATCTTTTTTTATCAAAGTCGTATAAAAATCATTTGACAGAAGAACAGTTGATAGATATTTTGACAACCTTCGACATATACTATATCGCCACAAAAAATATATTTTAGATCAATAAACTTTCATTCGAATATTAATCACTATTAATATCGAAAAATGTCGTACTAATCACATGACATTCAGATTTACCACGAATATTTTTAATTATGAAAATAGCTATTCTAACCTAAGTATACCAAACACTACACTGCTACCCTGAAATTGCCGGTTATTCAAAATGTCGATTTATTCTGTTTGCGAGAGTTCAATATATAAATACAAATTCAGTTAAGTCGATAACAGATAATAAAATTCTTTCAAATAACCTCTCTTTGATGATTAATTACGTCAAAGATAAATATCATAGATAAATTAATACAAAATTGAATTTTTTACCCATAAATTAAAATGAAATGTATTCAAATGTGAAAGAAATAAATTAGTATGCAGCAGATGATGAAACAGTTTTCTGTACTATTTTAATCAACCGATAAGTACGAAATATTTATCCAAATTTGATATATGTATGTATTCTACGCGTTTTTATTAGAAATATAAGAAATTTAATTTCTAAAAAACGATTATTTTACTAAAATTATAAATATTTATTTTAAAAAAAATTATAAGACTACCTATATAATTACCTAAATTATATTTTTCACATAGCTATAAATAACGTATATTTGAGATAATGTTATCTGCTTTAAACACGATATAAAATCCACTTTTAAATTTTAAATAACTTTCTATTTTCGTGCATTTTTTACTTTAACGATTATTTATTTGCATATATACAATGCATATATTTTAATAGGTGATGACAATAATTAAAGATGAGATAAAGAAGTAAATATTTTTTCGTTTATATTTTCCACGTTCAAGAAATTCTTTTATAATGAAATACGAAAAGAAAACGAAACGAAGATGTTACAAAAAGAAAATGAATAAAAATTTACTAAATCCATTGAAAATAATTAATAGGTTTTCTTGAATTACATTTTTATAACAAAAACAAATTGATTGATTTTTAAACATAAAAAATAACTGAAAAACAAAGTAAAAATGTATATATATAATTGAATTTTATATTATTCAATTTTAGAAATCAAATAAATAAAAATAATCAAATAAACAAAAAACAGAAAAACACTGTCAATATTCGACGTCAACCGTTCCTAAAGCAATATATATTTTATGCTATACTTAATACTGACTTGCATATGAATCGAGGAGTAGCAGCAGCTAATGTAAGTAATATATATTCTTTATTTAATCAATATTTTATGTATTTTAAAAAATATGTAAAACACTCTCTTTAAATATACTTATAATAATTTTATAATATTATTTGATGAATCATATTTAAATTATATTTATTATATTATTATATTCTTAACTATTTAATTTTAGATCGCAAAATGTTTGATGTTTCTTCATAATATATTGGACTCTGATCAAGTGAAAAGCCAATACATTGATACTTGGATGAAAACTGGGTATGGTACATATTACTTAATTTTAATAATTTTTAATTTAATTATACTATAGCACTTTTTGTTTAATTCTGTATATATTTAGAAAATAAAAAATTTTAAAAATTAACAACAACAAAATATAAATTAAATATAATTCATTTAATCAATTATATGGAAACAGACAAAGAATAACAGTCCTAAAAGGATACGATCATAAACATTTGAAATACCTCGAAGATGAATTAAAATTTATAGCAATTCAAACATACGCGGTCCGTCACTTTTGGAATGGCAACCAAGCAATCATTGCGTTAGCAGTTTTTGGACTAAAAGAAGATATAGAAGAAATTTTTGAAGGAATGTCATACTTACGATAATAAAAATATATAAAACTTTTAAAACTAATAAGTTTATTAAATAATTTTATTAAAAATTTATAACACAATAAAAAAAAGCTTAAATAAAAATAAAAAATTTAATAAGCTATAAAATTATATATCATCATATAATATTAAGAAGTTACGAAAAATCTATTAATTAATAATTGAAAAGTATAACTCTTTTTCTTTCATTTTAATATTTTAATATCTCTAACTACATGTTATAAATAAAAACAAATAAAAAAATAAAAAATAACAAAAAAGAAAAAATAAATACATGAAAATTAATAAAATTAATTAATAATTAACGCCACATAAATAATTTAATAAGATCAAACATTTATAGACAAGGAAATCAAATAAAATAAAAATATAAATGCGAAATAATCACTAACGCCATCTCTTAAACTCTAAAAACATCATTCTAAAAGAATGATAATGAAACATAAAAATTGAAGTTCGTTGCCATCTGCTGAAAAATTGTAAAAGAATATTCCTAATAATCAACAAATGATGATAATTCTCAATATCACTTTCAAATTATCATGCTCTTAAAGAAATGTAGTTAATCCTTCAGAAACGACAGTAATTCCGACGCTATCTTCTTCTCCTATTATTTAATTTTCTTACCGATATCAGCTAAAACAACGATAAGTTAAAACTACGATACTCCACAAATAACATTGATTTTAAAATTTTCTTTCAAAAATTCATTCCAAAATCTTTTTAACGATTTGTTAAACCTACGTATACAGAAAAATTCCAAAAAAAAAAGAAAAATAAAAATATCTTTTATTTCTTTTTCATTAATTCTATATCAATTTAAGAAATAAAATAAAATCAAATCAAATAAATATATCTAATTAACACCAAGATTACAAAACATTTAATTAATGATCATTTTACAAATCAAGTAATAAAAAAAGTTTTAAGAAAAACTTACGCTAAACTTGTAAAATAAAAATTAAATTGTACAAAGAAGTAAATAAAAGAATC